AAACCGATTTCCCGGTGGGGGGCTCTCCGTTCCACTTCGATCTCACCCCCCAACTTCCGATATATAGAATGTGCATTTCAGGTGGTGCGCCATCTGTGCGACGCCATCGACGTGACGTGATATATGTGGTGCAACCGATGTGGTGGAATATGCGTGGTGCAGTGTATGTGGTGCAACCTGCGTTGCGCATTCTATACCGTTCAACCGGTGTGGTGTAGCATGTGTTGTGCAACCTTTCTTGTGCCATCTATGTGGCGCAATGTAGGTGGTGCAAGCAAGATGTGTTGCGCAACCGATGTTGTTCAACACATGTTGTACAATCTATGTGGTACATCTACGTGTTGCAGACTATGTGGTGCCATTCGTCCCGTCGAATTTGAAAACGGCAACCCCACAGCTAGCGCAATCATCCCACCCACCCACCCGCGACTTGGTCTGCAAAGCCCATGCGGCCGCGATTGCGATAACTGCTTGGCGCTGGCTGGCGCGCCGCTGCGGCCGCACTAGCGCTCGCAGGCTCCCGCACAGAGCAGACAGGTAGCCTGGCGAACCACGCGGCCGCTGTGGCGCTGACCGCAAGGGGCTGCCCAACCCGTCCCGCAAGCGAAGCTGACGCGCGAACACTGCAATGCGATTCGATGACTCGGGCGAACTCGGTATCGTGGCGACGTCGACAACCGCAGACACGCTCATGATTGTAGCGGTGCTGGTGACGACGATGACGACGACGATGATGACAAGAAGGCCGATGACGGCGCCGATGCTGAGCACGCCGATGACGATGATGGTGTCAACGCGTTGGTGATGAAGGTCTGAGAGCGATTTCGTCATGCGGGCGCGGCCGACGGGCGCGAGTGGCCCGCATGGTATTATTTGATAGGGATCGCCCCCCCCCCCCCCCCAGAACGCGCGCATGGGCGCTCGAATGATTCCGACATGCACGCGCGGGGGGCCAGTTTGGCCGCGTTTGGTCAACATGTTGGGGAACAGATGGTTTCCTGAAGCCTTCGCAAGAGCGCGCGCATAATTTTCTTGTTTGGAAGTATCGCGTTGCATAACCATGTGTGGTTTCTGTTTCCTTTTAACAATACATGTTTTCGGGACCACCGTTTTTGGAACCCCTGCGGCACCTGCGATGTCGAAGAACATTGGCCATTCGCGTGGGACGACGCGCGCGTGGTAACATCGGCACATTGTTCGCAAGGGGTTCCTGCGACATGATGATGTGCGAAAGACGAGTGTGCGCGAATGGCCCATGTTGCACAGGATGATGGGGTGGTATGAATCAATGTGTATGATCAGCGGTGGGACAAAATCATATGCCAACTGCACATCCCCACAGAGAACCGATAATCCCCGTTTCGGGGGGGAGATCATAACTCCTGTTTTATACATATATATTCATATTCATGTCTGTGGTGCGCAAGATATGCGGCGACGGGGCGGCGAGGGGGCAGCGACGGCGGAACCATAGATGCAAGATTGGCGGTCAGGCCCAGACGACGGGCGGCGACGAGGCGGCGACGGGGCGACGACCGCGGCAGCATAGCCGCCATTGCGGCAAACATGCGCAGACAGTGGGCGGCGGCAAGGCGGCGACGGGGCAGCGACGGCGGGAGCATAGCCGCCTGAGCGGCAGAAAGGCCTGACGACGGGCGACGACGAGGCGGCGACGGCGGCAACATAACCGCAAGAGCGGCAGACAGGGCCAGTTCCTTCGAGCAGAAGTAAGAAACCCGAAGTGCAAGCACTGTTCTAGGAAACATGTCTATCCAGAGACGGACGTGTATATATGTATATATATATATATACAAAGATGTGTGTGTGTGTGTGTGCGCAGGTCTGCACATGTACGTATACGTGTGTACCCATATATGAATGTACATGGGACGTCATGCATGCGACTAATCATACACACAGACATACATACATACATGCATACGTATAGGCAGACATACAGCTAGACATACACACACGTATGCATACGTTCATACGTACATGAATACATACACACCTACATGCAAACATATCTATATAGATATGTGCGATATGCATATTTATATGTATATATGTATATGTATATATCTATATATATATATATGTGTGTATGTGCTAGACAATGCACAGGCATCAACATAAGCAAGCGAGAATTCGCGAGGAATTCTGGAGAGCGGCCAGGGGAGGGGCAAGCGGAGCGCGCCAGGGGAGGGGCCGGATCCCCGCATGTGCCCTTTTTTGTCCTGCACCTTGCCTCGCGGCCTGAACGCGATGCCTGCTGCATCGCGGTGATCTTTCGATGGAGGAGAAGCAGAACAAAGAAAGTGGGCAGCGGAAGTTCCATTTAACAGATCATTGGGCCACAGGTACCCGCATGTAACTGTCTTTACATTGCACTTCCCCTGGCGGCTAGAATGCGATACCTGCTATATCGGAAGGATCATGCAAAGGAGACGCACAAGGAATTGCGAAATAATGATACTGGAGGTTCCTTCAGAGTGGCTGTCATTCGAAGCGGCGATCCCCACAGATCGTCATCTTGTACTTACCCTCATGGCCCGAATGCGATGCCTGCTACAACGCAGTGATCAAATGGGATGAAGGGGAACAAATAAGCAGGATTCAAAACGTCGGCTGTGGAAATCGATCTGAATGTATGACAAAGCCGTGCCTTGAAAAACTGGCCCGCGCTGGAGCGAACCTGGAACAGACAGGATGTAGTAACCAGGAACGGAAAAATAGAGGAAGACGGGCCAGGGCTGGAAAAAGATCGGCGGAGTCTCGATGGGCGATCGATGGGCGATTGGGGGTCGATGCTTGCCCTACTGAGCCTATCCCTGATGGTTTTCGGGTCATAACTGGGGCCTCCAGTGGCCGCTCGGGACGGTCCAGCCAACCCGAGAACGTCCTCGGCGAAGAGCTGCTGTTGGAACGCCTTCCGAGGCTGGAAGGCCGCTGATAACCGACGAAAGCGTCAGAAAACCTCCGCTAACGTTGCCCATGAGGTTAGAGGCCTCCCAAGCAGAGTCGGAGTAGTTGGGGCGGAGGGTCGCGCTGCATCGCCGATCATCGACGATGCATCACAGATGCATTGATGATGCACTGGCGACGTCGGCGATGCATCGGCGCAGTCGGCGTGGAGAAAGTCAGGCTCCACATCAAGCCGAATCCCCGATGCATCGGCGATGCGGCACGATACTCCGACCCCATCTGCTCGGACCCCATCTGGAAGGCCTAGAGAGGTGTGGGTCGCTCGAAGCAAGATATGTGTCGTGGCGCCGTTTGTTCCCGACGCGCCCAAGTGGACAGCGCCGACACCACGGCAAACCCACGGCAGCCCCTGCGCCCCGGCCCCAGGCAGACGAGGCCGGCACCGCGGCAAACCCAAAGGCAAACCTGCCGCGCCCGAGGCGGCGATTGCCCTGGTGCCCGCGGTGCCCTCCCCAAGACGGAAGGCCGCGCGTCGGAACAAACCGCGCGGCGGCGTCGATTTCGGGTGAGGCCTAACCGACCCCTTGCAAACCGTCCCTGTCCATGCCGCATACATACGGCCCTCCGGCCGCATACATACGTCTTGGAACGAGGCGGGGAGGGCGTCACGGAAGGGGATGGTCTGCCAGGGATCGGCCAGGACGCCTCGTGGTGCTGCTCGACGCTTCTCTTCGGCCGCGGCCGCCTATGGCGTGCGGGCCTCGACCCGGCTCCCAGCAGCACCGGTGCGCCGCGCAGCGGGGCGGCGGCGCGGCACCGGCCGCGGCCACAGGGGGGGGGGGCGCCCCCCTGAGCTCCAGGCGCGCGCGCGGCTGCCATGGGCCCGTGCCCCCAGCGGCCGAGTGGGCACACGGGCGACGAGGAGAAACGGGCCCGTGCGCGAGAGGGCAGAGCGACCTTACGCCTCGTTTCACGCGGGCCGCTTTGGAGGCGGCGCCCACGCGACATCTTGCGCGGGCAGCTTGCGCGCCAATGCCGGCACCGTCGAAAACCCGTTGTTCCCAGACCCCCGACGTCGTGATTTTGTCTCAGCTTCGACCCCCAGAAGTCTGTGGACCCCCCCCCGGGACCGGCTCCTCGTCCTGAGTCGTTGCTTGACGGTCCCGAGGCCCGGCCAGGGGCCCCCAGAAACCGAGGGTAGACAAAGACCTCCCGTCGTGATTGTTTCACAGCGCCAGGGGGTCTGCAGGTTCTGCGCCGCTCACACGGAGAGGGGTGCTCTCAGATCTCCGAAGATCTGCGTATTCCGATGCGGGCCCTCCTCCTCGGGTTCGGCCTCTGGGGTCTGGGGCCCGCTGCCAGGTCGGGGGGTATCATCGCAAGGTCGGGGGCAGAAATCTGCCCCCCTCGGGAGAGTGCGGGGGCATCTGGGGCCGCGCGCTGAGGACACCGCATCGTCGGACCTCTGGCGCAGCAGTCTCCGCGCGCTGCTCCGGGCAGAGGCTGGAGGGCTTGAAGCTCTTCTCCGCGGTCACGGCGCCACCATGGGCTTCCGCAGCGCCGGAGGCCGCCGAGGTCCATGCCGCGACGGCTGCATGAAAGAAACGGCGAACCCCTAATCTTTGCGGGGCGTTTGAAACCAGACATGTGACGTCCTGATTTGTTCAATGCGCGATCCCACGAAGTCTCGACCCTTTCCCCGGGACCGGTTTTCATCCTGCCGCGTTTTTTGACGGTCCCGGGGCCCAGTGAGGGCCCCAAGAAGCCGAAAACGTTGAAAAAGCTCCTGTCCTGATGTTTATCACGACGCCAGCATCTCTGGGGAGCCAGCTGCAGACACCGTTGCGCAAGAGCGAGAGCTGCACGTGGCGATTCTGCATGCACAAGGGGGAGGGGTGGGCGAAAAGACGCACCGGCAACATCGAGGTGGTAGCGGATAGCGGTCGCGGGACGCGCCAGCGTGATGGAAGCAGCGACGGCCTGGCGGGGCCTGGCTACTCAGCCAGGCGAGGCCCGCAATCGCCGCAGCCTGCTCCTCTGCGCCACCGCCCGGGCCAGCTCCTCGCGGGCGATCAGGGCCGCACCGCCGCGTCCGCCTCGCTCTCCTGGTGGGCAAACCGAGCTACTTCGCTTTTGACCACCCCCGCTTCCAAACGGGAGCCAGGCGATACCACCCTGCACGTGACCACGCCGCTGCCCAGAAAAGCAAGACGCGAGGCGCCGGACCGTCTTCGGCCTGTGGGGGCCGGCCGTCGCACGGGGCACCAGGACCGTCACAGCGACTCGCGGTGAAAAGCTGGCCTTGGGGAAAGGGTCGGGACTTATATGGCATGAGCTGGTTTCGCCGGCGCTGGTTTCGCCGGCGCTGGTTTCGCCCCGCTGGCTTCGCCCTGCTGGTTTCGCCTGCGCTGGTTTCGCCGGCGGCTGGTTTCGCCCGCGCTAGTTTTACCGACGCCGTCGTCGGCGTCGGGGTCGGCGCCAGCGCCTTCGCCGCCGCCGTTGTCGTCGTCGTCGTCGTCGTCGCCGCCGCCGTCGTCGCCGTCGCCGTCGTCGTCATCGTCGTCGTCGTCGCCGTCGTCGTCGTCGTCGTCGGGCGTCGGGAGTCGGGCGTTGAAACCTAACGGGCGGGTCGGGTCGGGCGGGTGGACCGTAGCGGGCGGGTCGGGTCGAGCCGGGCGGGTGGACACTAACGTGCGGGTCGGGTCGGGCGGGCGGGACATTAAACTGTGGAGCGCGCTCGACCGAACCCGCGCGAACCCTAACAGGCGGGTCGGGTCGGGCGGGCGGACCCTAGCGGGCGGGTCGGGTCGGGCGGGCGGACCCTAGAGGGCGGGCAGTTTTCGCCGACGGCAGCTTGTTTCGCGGACGGAAGCTGGCTTCGCCGACGGCGAAACAAGCAGGGCGAAACCAGCTGGGCGAAACCAGCCGTCGTCGAAACCAGCCGTCGGCGAAACCAGCGGTTGCTGGACTTATGGGACCCCGCATTGAAAAATCAGGACATCAGATGTCTTGGAACTTACCCGTGGGATAGCCCGCAACGGTCAGGCGTTTATTGTGACTTGGTTTTGCCTGGAAGCGATAGCGGTGTAGGTGTTTCACCCTCCAATCGGCAAACGAACCTACCTCGCTTTTGGCCACCCTCGCTTCCAAAAGGAGCCAGACGATACCGAGCTACCCGTGGGGTGGCCCGCAGCGGTCAGGCTGCTTGAAGAGGAGGCGTGTGGTATGACTCTTGGTTTTGCCTGGAAGCGAAAGCGGGGTAGGTACGCAGAGCTCCGTTGTCGTGACGTTTTCACTCACGACAGGGGCCCCTGTAGGTCTAGACCCCTCGCCCCCTCGCCAGGACCGTCTTTTCATCCCGAGTCCGTTTTTGACGGTCCTGGGGCCCAGCGAGGGCCCCCAGAAACCGAAAATTACGATAAACGCCGTCAGGGCGTTGCACGTCTGAGCAATTCTAGGTGGCGACATCCGAACCCTGACCCCCACCAATCATCGGTTCTCCTGGATCGATCGGAAGCGGGGTTGGGTTTGGATTTCGCCACGTGCCCGACGACTTCCGAACCCTAATTACCCCCGCCGCCCATCGAGCTGCCTTAATCGTTGGTCGGCGAGGGTGGGGTTAGGATCTCGCCGCCTGAATTCACCACCCGTTCAGAAAGCGAAGACAACGGGGACCATGACCAAGACTGAACGCAGGAACATCGTGTCGATCTTGGTCACCGTCCATCTGAGTCAGCGGCCATTCGTGGATCACCCTCGCGAGATCGGCGACGACCGCCATGGACCATGACCAAGACGGCATCGACAAGATCCGGCGACATCTGAGTTGATAAACAGTTAAAGGACCCCTTACACTTTGGGAGTGGACCTAAATTAGGAGGGCTCAGAACTCTAGGGACAGGGGATCTTTTCTGCAGATGCATCAGGCCCGACCACCCAGATGTACTATCCCTAGTACTGCGAAGACGGGGACGGAAGTGAGGCCTCGCCTTCATCGTGTTATGAAGGTTAAAGGGCTCTCCTGTTCTCGAGGATTGGTCCATGACCCCCTGGATTCCCAGACCCCCGACGTCGTAATTCTGCCATGACGTGACCCCCAGAAGCCTGGACCCCTTCCCGGGGCCGGTTTGTCATCCTCAGTTGCTTTTGACGGTCACGGGGCCTGGTCAGGGCCCCGGGAGACCGAAAATAACGACCCCCCCCGTCGTGATTGTGTTCACACCGCGAGGGGGTCTGAGCTGTACGTCGACGGGTCTCGCGTCGGCCCCCAGCCGGTCCCGACCCCCCGGGCAGCTCTGCTCGGGAGCGGCGCCAAGAGGGGGGTGTCCAAGAGGGGGGGGGGGTGCAAATCATGACCGGCGGCACGTGCGCGGCCCAGCGGGGGGGCCAGGGACGTAATGATGTAAGAAGAGGCGCCATGAGATCTGGGGAAATATCATGGCCCCCGCCATGAGAAGCCACCAGACCACTCCAGGGGAGGGTATTTTTCGACACCCCTCACGAGGATCGTGGCCTCCGAGGGGGGAGCCGCAATCGACTACCCCCAAGAGCCCCCCAAGAGGCCCTGGGGGCCTCCAAAACGCCGCCAAGGAGCCCCAAGAGACTCCCAAGAGGCTCCCAAGAGGCCCCCAAGAGGCCCTAAAGAGGGCTCCAGGGCCGGCGGCATGAGCGAAGCGATGATATATCATGGCCCCCGCCATGATATCCACCCCCCTCTTCTCCGCCCCCGATCAGCCCCCCGGGCAGCTCTGCGGCCTGCTCCAGGGGGGCTGTCCGCCAGGCGCCCGCTGCGGGCGCCCTTCCCGGGCTCCTCCTCCGCCCCCCGCGCGGGCAGCTCCGCGGCGGCCGCCAGGTGGTCGAACACCTCGCGGGGCCGAACGGTGCCAGACCTCCGCGCGCGCTGGGAAAACATCACGACGGCAGGTTGTTCGCGAGTTTCGGCCCGAAGGGGCCCTCGCCAGGCCTCGGGACTGTCAACAGAACGACCCGGAGGAGGAACCTGCCCCCGGGCAGGGGCCCAGGCTCCTGGGGGTCACGTCGTGAGAAAATCACGACGTCCGGGGGTCTGGGACTGGCCCAGGGGAGGAAACGTCTATGAGACGGAGCCAGGCCGAGGGTAAATCCAGGTGAGGATCAATCGAGAATCTCTGAGGCCTGGCGGATCTGGAAGATGCCTCGTGCGCCGCGGCCTTCCCAGAGCGCGACGGGGCGCTCTGAGAGCGTTCTGGAGCGCTCTGGAACAGAGTTCTCCTCGTCCTCGTCCTAGCCCCGTCCGACCTGGAATCGGCGATACGTCGAGAGATCGCCGATGGGCCCCCGATACTGAGCCCAGACGCTCCTGGGCAGGTTGGGGCTGTCGGGCATCTATCGGCGACCAGTGGGCGACTGGGGGACGATGCACCCCCCCCGTATGCCTGTCCGCCCTATCGTTGCCCCTTGATCACACCTGCTTGGGAGGCGGCCCAACGTTCTTGAGGGCCAGGTACAGCTCCTCTCGGCGGCGCGCCGAGGGGGGAAGTGAGAGGTGGCAGGCCTTCTCAGAGGCTGCGGGGCTTCTCAGGAGCCATCCATCCCCCCTGCAGCGTCGGAGAATGCCCAGGCATGTGATGATGATGATGATGATGATGATGATGATGATGATGATGATGATGATGATGATGATGATGATGTTGATGGTGATGGTGATGATGATGATGATGATGAGGATGATGATGCTGATGATGATGAGGATGAGGATGATGATGATGATGATGATGATGATGATGATGATGATGATGATGATGATGATGATGATGATGATGATGATGATGATGATGCCCTGATATTTTGAAGACGGGGTCTCCCGAAGTCCCCACACTTGCCCCAGCCAGCTTTCCCCGGGGCCAGCCTTTCCTCGCGACTCGTGGTGTGTGTGACCGGGGCCTGGCGAGGGCCCCCAAAAGCCGGACACGGCCAACAACCTCCCGCCGTAAACTCTCACGACGCGAGCATCCCTCGGCCTGCACCTGCAGAACCATCCGCGCGGCATCCGCGCGGCAGGTGCCGCGCTGCCACGGCCGCCGCCGCGGCCGCACCGCCGCGGCACCTTCGGCGCGGACGGTGCGGAAGGTGCAGGTCGATTCGAAGGATGTCTGGGCCTGAGCCTCCCGAGAAGGCCCGCCCCGTGCGCTCTCCCCGCCCAGGCGGCGCCGCGCATCCTCGGCCGGCCTCCCGCGGAAGCGAGCCACCAAGTCGTGCACGCTGGCGCCGCCGCAGCTGGCGGCGGACACCCCGTAGGCAGCGGTGCCGCCACGCTCGATGCACTCCGCACAGCCGTCCTCGGCGGCGCGCCCCGGGGGGGGGAGGCGAGAGGGGGCGGGCCTTCTTAGGAGGCGGCGGGGCTTCTCAGGAGGTGAGCGAGCAACGACATATGCACATGTACTCCCTCCGCGATCTTGAATGCACGAACGTCCTCGTTCAAACACCCCCCAAGGGAAGCTAACCGCGTACGTGTACATATGTTGCTGGCCTCTGAAGGAGCGCCCGCGCCTTCCGAGGAGGGTTCGGCGTCTTCGGGGAAGGCTCAGAGAGCTTCTCAGAGGCCCGCGGCCTTCCGAGCCTCCTGAGAGCTCTCGGGGCCGTCTTGGGCCGCCGTGACGGCTGTCTGGTGGCTCTCGGAAGCGGCCCTGGGCCCCCACAGGCAGGGCGCGCCCTGGGCCACACATTTGCGGTCAGGGTCGCGGCCTCGGGACAGGCGGGGAGCGCGTCAGGGGCGGCGCCAGAGGCGCCACCAGGGGGACCCAGCGCTGATCACAAAACTCCGCGTGGAGCTCCGAAAGCTTGTGCTTGTGCTGTGCTTTCTTCTTCGAGTCCAGGCCGTGGAGGAAGCACTGGTTGCCCGGGTTTTCGCAGAAGTGGTCATAGACGTAGTACTCCAGCCCGGGCCCGCCCAACAGGGCCGTGGCGAGCCACACGGCAAGGAAGTACTGCTGGCTGTCCCCGAACCACAGCCCGGCGCCCCAGGGACCGGTGCCCACGCGCATGACGACAGAGCCGAAGACCTCCTGGACCTCTGGCAGGTACATGGGCGCGTGGAAGGCCTGGACCCACACCGCTTTAGGAAGGAGCGCGACCACAAAACTTCACCGGACTCGGCCTCGACCGCTGTGCGGATCAAGCGGTCGCATGGACTTAGAACGCAGCCACGCGCAATTGCGGAGAGGAGTGAGGAGTCGGCGGGGTCGTCCGCCGTCTGCGAGTCTCGACAAAAAATCCCGCCGCAGGCGCCGATTTTCTGACACATTGCACAACGAGCACGCCGCAGGCGTGCTCGTTGTTCGTTCGCCGATTGCTTCGTTAAAGCAACGTGGGTCGGTCGCGGGGTGGGTCGCGGGTGGCCCATACTCTGGATAAGATAAACTTTACGAGGGGAGGGTGATTGACCATCCGATGGAAACTTGCCCGTCCCCCGCATTCCTCATCCAGCTCCCCCTCCTCCCCCTCCTCATCCTCCTTCTCCGCCTCCAACTCCAACCCACCCTCCACCCGGTCCGCCTCCTCCTTCCCCTCCTCCTCCTCCAACCCCCCTCCTCCTCATCCTCCTCCTGCTCCTCCTCCAACCCCTCTGGGACTTGCCCATCCTCCCCCGCCCTCCTCCTCCTCCACCTCCACCTCCTCCCCCTCCTCCTCCTCCTCCTCCTCCTCCTCCCTCCTCCTCCTCCTCTCCTCCTCCAACCCATCCTCCACCCGGTCCGCCTCATCCTCCCCCTCCACCTCCTCCTCCACCCCCTCCTCCTCCTCCTCCTCCTCCGCCTCCTCCTCCTCCTCTTCCTCGTCCTCCTCCTCTTCCTCCTTCTCCTCCTCCTCCTCCCCCTCCTCCTCCAACCCACCCCCCGCTGATCCAGGGGGGGGTACATTGGGCGCGTGAAAGGCCTGGACCCACAATGAAATGTCAGCGTCCAAGTGTCGGCGCTGCGCATCGCACTGGTTGTTCTGGGCGTCTTCTATGCTGCAGGCAGCATCCTGGACGGAACTCTTAGAAAACACCGTGACAAAGGCGCTGGGCGCAATCTGCTCGACCCTGTCAGCAATCACCACCGGCACTGTCTGGCGCAAGATGGCGTTGTTGAGCCAATCCTCGCGCTTGATGAAGCCACAGCTCGCTTCTCCGCGTCTGGACTCGCCCGTAATGCTGCCCATGTACCTGCGGGCGCCCAGCAGCGTCCAGGGGACCCTCAGCATCTGACTCTGGCTGGAGAAGAACGAGAACGCGAGCACCTCGCTGTAGAAGATCACCAGAGATTCGTCCTGGCTGTTGGCCACGTCGCATAGACCTCCTCCGCCTCCAACGGCGTAGCCCGCAATGTCCGTGAGGGCCTGGCGAAACCAACAGGCACCAACACCCTTACTCCTTGGACCTCTCCCGGGGTTCGATCTGACCACGATTCCGAAGCGAATCCAGCCGTGGCGACGAGGGCCTCCCAGGAGGTCCAACACGGCGATGCAATGCAGCCAGCCCGTAGGCTGAGGACGCGCGAGCAGGATGCCAGGACCCTGAAAGGCCATGCCGACACCCTGCGTGCGGGGCGCGGCCAGCGACAGTTGCCAAGGGGGGGCCGCAGGGGAAGGGTGCAAGGGTCACCTTGGAGAGTCGCTCATCCTTACTGTGCGCGCTGCCTGCAACGAGGGACATGAGAGGGGCCTTGGCCCCCAAGAGTTCCGACAACTTTCGAAGAATCAGACATGAACAGCATGCATGTGCACCTTCCACTCCCCCCGCAGGCCTGCCCCGCGCTGCCGCCGGCCATGAAATCGACGCAGGCCGAAGGCTCCGACTGCAGGCAGAGGCCCGGCTCCCGCAGCACCGCGCCGGGGACCAGCCGCTGCCAGCTGCCGTCCGCCTCCCGCGGCGCCGCCGCGACCAGCACCGAGCCGTGCCCCTGCGGGCCTGGCGCGCCGATCTCCCTCGAGAGAACGGCAAGCAGCGACAGCAACGAGTAGAGACACCAGAGGAACAATCCGATGCGCGAACACACGAGCGGCGAACCAAAGATTGGTCGGCAGAGCGACCCTGCGCGGCGGCTCGCGCGGGCCGCCGGCTCGCCACGCCACATCAGAGAGGAGGTCGCTTGCGCGCGACCTCACGCGGGCAGCTCACGCGCCAGTGTCGGCGCAGTCGTCTCCGTTCGCGTACGCCGCTCCTATCAGCACTCGGAAGGTCCGCGCGGACACCTTGCATCTGGGCTGGAGCCCCCTTGGCGGCGCCTCCGGTGCCGCCCAGCGGGACCCGCCGCCGACCCGAGACACCCGCAAGGACCTCCGAGGGCCCAGCGCTGTGCAGCTCCTGCTCCTCCGGGATAGCCCAGGCCCCCGCGCGCGCCAGCCGCTCGGCGCGCCTCCGCGGCGGCCGTGCAGCGGACGAGCGCCTCCGAGAGGGCGTTGCCCCCCTCGACGTCGTTGCCCATCAGCACGTTGGCGACCACGAAGGCCAGCTGCCGGTGCGTGATCGCCGCGGCCTTCGCGGGGGAGCCTCCCGCGCCGAGGCCGAAGTCCATCCAGGGCACCTCGGGGCGGGGCGGGCCGGCCGGGGGCGAATGGCTCGGGGGGGCGGAAGTCCATCTCGGGCACCTCAGGGCAGGCCGACTGGGGGCGAATGGCTCAAAGGAGGGGGGGCATGTGCGACCCGCTGTTTGTATGATTGCAACAAGGTTTTTGTTGAATTTCCTAGCGATTGCAACGCTATTGATCATCAATTTGCTCATCATGCTTGTTCATCGTATTCTTTATTTCCCACTGTTGTCTTTCATCGTATTCCCCCCATCCACATTCCTCCCGTCCTCCCCCTCCTCCCGCGCCGAGGTTCTGGCTCAATTCAAACGAGGTTTCAGCCCAAATAAGGGAACCGTTTAAAGGGCACGAAAGCCTACCAGGCGAAACTTGAGAAAAGCGCTGACTATCAGGCCCCAAAAAACCTTAAACAATGTATGATTCAGCCCCGAACGCGGCGCTTGATGGCGGAGGGCGCCCGCGCGGCCGCAGTGAAGCTCAAGAACCGCCTTGAGCAGGCAACCGAAAAGCACCAGACCGACGCAAACAACCTCAGGATCTTGTGGGTCGGTGTCAAAAGTCAACAATTAAATAATATATGTGTTCTTTCGAACTGATACGTCAACTGTTTTGCATTTCCGCAGGACATGCATTTCCGCAACGCCAAGACTGCCAAGGACGACGCTACGGCCAACCGCGAGGATGCCAAGCAGGCGTGGGCGGAGGCGAAATTGTGGAAGAAGAGGTACTTGGAGGATCGCGGGCGCAATCAGGCGACATATTGCCCCCTGCAATAAAAGAAAACGTTAATATTGTTGTTTTTGTTGGCGGATCCTCCATATGTCGCCTGCTTGCGCTCCCTTCGAGGAGAAGAAGGGGCGAGAGCAAGCGGAACAAAAACTGGCCACGACTGCGGCCAAACTGAAGTCAGCGTCGCTCAAGATTCGCGAGAACTTCAAGAGGGACGAAGAACTGCGCAAAGAGAAGAAGCGCAACGCCGACCTCCAGCGCCGCCTGCGCGTCGTGCTGGCCAGCTACAGAAAGGAGCGACGAAAGGGGCCACGAGGGGACCACGAGAAGGAACGCAAACCCACTTGAATGATGCACGCCCTTATCTCGCAAGTGATGCGTTTCATGCACTTGTTGCTGCGTTTTGGAACATATGAAAATCATGTTTTCAAAACTGTTTTGCTCTACTTGTAGTTTTCCATTCAAAGCCAGCAATTTCCACGAGAAAAGACTCAACCAGACTTGAATAACGCACGCACTTATCTCGCAAGTTGTGCCTTTCATGCAGTTCTTGTTGCGTTTCGGAAAATATGAAAGGTCATGTTGTCAATACTTGTTTGATTAATTCGCGGTTTTCCTTGAAAACGACCAAATTCAAGGAGAAGGAACGCAACCCCGCTTGGAGAATGCACGCCCTTATCTCGCAAGTGATGCGGTTCATGCAGTTGTGTTGTGGTGTTTTGGAAAGTATGAAAAACAGTGTTTTCAATACTTTGTTGCTGTATTCGTACTTGTTCATTCAACGCAAGCCCATTCAAGAAGGCGCAAGCGAGCTCCGCCGAGCGTCGACACGTGTGAATATCTCGGGCCCTCTTGGGAAGCCACTTGCGGCGTCTTTGGGGCCGCTTAGACCTCCTTGAAATCATCTTAGGGCGTCTCCGGGCCGAACGGGCAGAAAAAACCAAGCAATGGACGCAGCAAGGGGCTCTGGAGGGGGCTCAGGAGAGCATCCAGGAGGGCGTCCAGGGCCGCCAAAGCTTACCAGGAAAACAAGAAAAACAAGAGAAACATGAACAAGCATTGCATTTCACGTGGGAGATAACAAAATCAATCACATAAAAAACAACAAAACAAAAGAAAACCTGTAACTGTCAGCATTCTCTCTCATTTGTTCTATTGCAAAAAACGGCGACAGTCACGAGTTGTCTTTGGATTTTGTCCTCTCCCCATGTGAAAAACAAACGTTTCTTCTTTGCTTTTCATGTTTTTCTTGTTTCCCTGGAAAGCTTCCGCGGTCCGAAAGCACTGCGTCTGGAAGTCCCCACAATCAAAATCAATTTGCACATGGATTACACACTGATATTAATTGCCGATGCCTCTGAAAATCCCCACCATGAAATCAAATTGTAATCCATTTACACATTGATGTTGATTATGGGGAATTCCAGGCGCATTGCTTAGGCAGTGGAAGGTTACTCGGGAAACAAGAAAACCACGAAAAAAACAGCATGTGATTTTTCTTTCAAAAAGAACAACTCCAGAAAACCAAAAAAAACCTGTGACTGTCAGCATTTTCCTTTGTTGAATCATAAAAATGGCGACTGACACACGTGTTCTCTGCTTTTCCTATTTGTCAATGTGAAAACACATGTTTTGAGGTTTTTCATTTTTCCTGTTTTCCTGGTAAGCTGCCGCGGTCCGAAGGCGCTGCCTCTGGAAATCCCTACAATCGAAATCAATGTGTAATCCACTTGCAACTTGATTTTGATTGTGGGGAATTCCAGAGGCAGTGCTTGGGCCGCTGAAGTGTACCTGGAAAACAGGAAGCACAGGAAAAAAACAACAAAAAGCCTGCTTACACATGCAGAACAAAGAAAAACCAGAGAAACGATGTAACCGTCGGCATTTTCAGTTGATTTCTATTCATAAAGATGGCGACGGTCACAGGTGTTGTTTGTTTCTCTTATTCTTCCATCTGGAACCAGAAGTTTTGTGCTGCTTCATGTGGTTTCGTAAATTTCCGCGGTCCGAAGGCGATGCGTCTGGAATCCCCCACAATCAAAATCAAGCTGTAAATGGATTACACATTGATTTTGATCGTCGCTGCCCGTGGAGATCCCCACAATCAAAATCAATGTGTAATCCATTTACACATTGATTCTGATTGTTGGGAATTCCAGACGCAACATGAAAACATAACCAGGAAATCATGAAAAACATGACAATCATCACGAAACATGTGTTGTTCTGTCACACGCAAAGAAAACCAAAGAAAACCTGCAACCAAAGAAAAGAAACCAAAACAGGAAAAACATGGAAAGGAAAAGCAAAGAAAACCTGTAACTGACAGCTTGTTCATTTTGTTGTATCAATAGATATGGCGACGGGCACAAGTGTTCGTTGGTGTTTCTTCTTTTCCATGTGCAAACCCAAATGTTTTGTTTGACTGTCCTGTTTTTCTTGTTTTCCGTATAAGCTTCCGCGGTCCGAAGGCGCTGCGCCTGGAATTCCCTTCAATCAAAATCAATTGGCACATGGATTACACATTGATTTTGATTGTCGCTGCCTCTGGAAATCCCTACAATCAAAGTCAAGTTGTAAATTGTTGATTACAAATTGATGTTGATTGCTGCTGCCTCTTGGAAATTTGTGAAAGCAACATCAATTTGCAAATTGAATTGAAATTGATTTCGGATGTGGGGATCTAGAACTGGATTTGATTTTGGGTGCTGTTGGAACAAATTGTCAGAGAGAGGATTAAAACATTAAATATCGCTGTTTAAACCAAGAGAAAAACTTGGTTGCAATATCGCACGAACGGCGGGTCCTACGGGGGGGCATCGACCTGGCACTGGCGACATACATAGCCGACAGATCGGCGGTAGGTCCCCGATTGCGAGCCCGCACCCTCTTGGGCCCTTGGCCCTGGGCGGCGTGGGCGATGAGGCCCACATCGGCGATGAACGGGCGTTTGCGGTTCCATGCGCACCTTCCTGCGCACCTCCGGCGGCCCCAGCGACACACTATGCCATGCGAGCGGATAGCGTGTCTCTCCACTCCGCGGGTCGGGAGTCTGGGGAAAAGATCTAGAAGTTGACGCTCGGGGACTGGGACGCGGATGCCGTGGGATGGGATGGGACTGCGCCTCAAGACAGTCGAGACGGGAGGGAACAGCCCGAAAAGAGAGACAGAACAATGCTCGAGCACGCACTGCTCGCGCTGAAGCGTGGTGGGCACTCTGAGCAAAAGTTCCTGAACGCATCCCTCCCTGACTGACCCCTGCGGGCACAGCAAGCGACCACAACCACATCGAGGACACACCCGGGAGGATGCCTCGCGCAGGCCAAGAGCTGTCGAACCACCGACACCAGCTTCGAACTGGTTGCGGTCGCTGCGGTGTCCCAGGGCGGCCACGTCGACCACAGCCACAACCCAAGCGATCACGTCGAGGTCGGTGGGATTCCCCCCGAGGAGCCCTCCCAAAAAAAACCCACTTGGTTGTGGTTGTGACTCTCTGCTGCGCCCGGACCCCCGTGAACCTGTGCTCGTGCCCTGCGTGTGCTCGCCACCGCTCGGCCGTCCGTTCCCCGTGCCTCGCTCGACGTCGGGCCCGCTTCTTCTTTTCGCCAGATGATTTAGCATGCTCCGCCTCCTCCTCTTCTTCGTCGTCCTCCTCCTCCGCCTCCTCCTCCTCCTCCTCCGCCTCCTCCGCCTCCTCCGCCTCCTCCGCCTCCTCCTCCTCTTCCTCCTCCTCCTCCTCCTCCTCCTCCTCCTCCTCCTCCTCCTCCTCCCCCTCCTCGTCGAACTCATCCGTCCTCTTCCCCGGCCCCTTCTTCAGGCGAGCGGGCCCGTCCGCGGCCCCGCCCGACGGCTCGCCGCAGACGGCTGTCGAGAAGAACACAAGTGCACACGTCCGAGCGGTGCCAGATGTGCTCGATGCCCGGACCACAGAGAAAGGCTGCTCGCTGCGGCGGCCGCCCGCTCGGGACCGCCCGGGGGCGCTCCCCCGGCACGCTCTCGGCGAAGCGCAGCCGCTGCTTGCCGTCACGCGGACGTCCATTCCCCATGCAATGTTCGAGTTCGTGCGTGTGCTGCTTCGTCAGGCGATGCGATCTGCTCCTCGATGACCCTCGCCGAGGAAGCAGCAACGCACACTTCCGAGCGATGCCAAGGCAGAGGACGGCACCCCGAGCCTGGGAGGCCCCCGAGAACCACGGGCGCCCAACTTCGCGCTCCGCGAAGCGCGAGAGCGCGAATCCTTTCGCGCTCCCGCGCCGCCCCCCAAGGCGAGAAGAGGAGGAGGAGGAGGAGGAGGAAGCGGAGCCGCAGCGCGGAGCAACTCGCGCCCTCGAGAGCGCCCAGAGAGAACCGGCGACCCCAAACCCGGATCGCCTCAGACCTCGGCACCTCATACCCCCCCCCCCTGGGCCCATCCCGCCCCCCCCCCCCCCGACGCCTCCCCCTGACCGGGGCACCCTCTCGGGACCGCCGCCGAAGGGGTCCTCCCCGAGCAGCTGCTGCATGAAGGCGGCCACGGCCTCGAGGCCCACCGGCGCGCCGTCGAGGGCGGGCGGGCTCTCGCGCCAGCGGGCCGCCACCTCCTCCAGCGCCCAGGGGGCCACGCCCCGCAGCTCCCGGAGCTCGGCGTGGACCTGAGTGGCCAGCCACGCGGGCTGGTCCTTCCACGACCGCCACTCGTGCTGGCCGCACTCGCCGGGCCTCGAGGAGCGAGGTCGAGCCACGCCAGCATGGGGAAAAGGGACCTGTCCTGAGGGAACCGGGTCCGGGACCCCGAAGCCTTCCCCCAGGACGAGCTCTTCATCCTGAGCCGTTCTCGGACGGCCCCGGGGCCCGTGTTGGGCCCAGAGAGCCCGAAAACGGCGGAAAGCCCCAGGACCCGCCTCCCTCGAGACCCGCTCCCCCCACGGCAGCCGTGCACCGACCATGAGACAAGCGCGCGCCACTACTCGCAGAGCAGCTGTTCGCAGAGGGCCGGGACCTGGCGAGGAGGACGCGCGATCTGTTGCATCGAGGCAGACGTGTGTTAGTTTGTCGGACGTCTGCGAGTATAGGCACTCTGCGAGTCGTGGAGCGCGCCCGGCGAAACCAGGGCAAGGCACGCCCTGGACCCGAGGCCGGGGCCTTGGCGCCCTGTGCAGGGGATGAATAGGCACAAATCGCAGGATCCCTGAAATGTTCCCACATCTTCTAAATCTTCGCCTTCCCCCCCCCAATTCGTTATTTTCCCGGGGATCGACGATGAATTGTGTCTGTGCGTGCGTTTGCTTCTCATCCTGACTCTTGGCCTGGCCCAGGCTCGGTGAATGAGCAGAGCTATGAGGGACCCGCAGAAACACCCCCAGAATGCACCCATGCTTAGATTCAGAAAATCTTACGCTAAGAAATGGACTTCACTCCAAGCGTTTTCGTCGACAGTAGTCCGGGTCCAAATATATTGAAGTTCAACGGAAAAAGGAATATCCAAAAGCACGCCCTGGATCCAGGCCAGTTTCTTGGTTCTCTTGCACGAACTCAGGAGTCCATGCAAGTTGCGTCTTTGTCTTCAGATCCCTGACGGGTGGACGCACCCCGACAAGCGAAGCCGTGTCGTAAAAAGCACCCGAGGAAGAAATGGAACAGGGCAGGGCTGTCTCGCAAACGCCCGGCGCCGATCAGCGAACGCCAGTCATCGGGGTCGGGGTGGTGTCTCCTCCCTTGAACTGTCTGGGGGAACAAACAATGGCACCAACAGAAAACAACTCAGAGGTCCGTGCTGACTTCTCGGATCGTCGTTGATGCCCCCCCTCCCTGGCGCGCGGGGGGGCCCCAGCGCCCATCCGAGACGTCCGCGCGGACCTCCAAGTGTGCACGTTTACTAGGTCATCGCTTGCCTCCCTACGATATTCAAGTCGGGCGTATCCTCCACAGGAGGAGTATTGAAACGATAATCAAACAATAGTCTGGTGACGATTGCTTGAGTACGTTTGAAGATGTTTGGGTTAGTATTTGACTATTTTTAACATTCGTCCCAAATCGGCCTGTAGGAGGACGCGCCCGACCTAATACTATTTCGTAGCTGCCCCGATGCGCAACACGAAACACGTAGCGTGTTGACACGGTTTCCAAGACGTAATTCGGCTGAAAACGTGTAGGTCTGGCGCGATGCATTCGCCAAAACGTGCACCACCACGTGCCGCGCCAGCACGCAGCGTATCAACACGGAGGTCCTGAACACGGCACACTCGGTCAGACGCAATAAGAGTGAAGATGGGCAAGAGTGATCTTGGGTGCGCGGCTCTTGAGGGGCGCGAGGGGGGCCCAGCCCAGGCTCGGCAGGCGCTGCTGCCGCGTCGCGCTCGGCGATCGGCGGGGGTGGACACGATGAGCCCGCACCAGAGGTCACCTCCTGGCGAAGGGCCGCTCTTGAGCGTACAGTCGATGCTACACGTGCTGCGCTCCGGCACTGGCGCATCAAGGCAGCTATACGGCGCATCAACCGAGTTCTCGCCGCCCGCGGGCCCAGGGCAGAGGAGGAAGTGCCCGCCGGCGCCGCCCTCCTCTGGGGAAACCAAAAGGTACCGACACCGCTGCTCCCTGGACCTCTCCTGGGGTGCGTTCTGGCCAGGACTTCGAGGCGAGTCCAGCGGTGACGACGAGGACCTCCCAGGAGGCCCCAAAAAGGGGAAAACGAGGAAAGGGTAGAGGTACGAGTACGTTTTCATCCTCTGATCCTCGTCCAGGCGCAGCGGCGGCGCGCCCTCGGTCGCGGCCCGCCCGGCGGGCGCCGCGGCGCGACGCCCCCGCAGGCGCCACGCGGCCAGCAGCGTCGCTGGCAGGGCCACGGCCAGCAGCCGGGCGGGCCACGCGCGCCGCCAGCCCGCAGCAGGCTCCAGCGCGGGTGGGCGCCGCCCGGCCTCGCCGAGCCGCCGCCACGCCGCGGGGGGCTCGCGGGCGCGGGGCCCGGCGGCGAGGCCGCGCATGGCGGCCAGCAGCGTCGCCGGGAGGGCGGCCCCCTGGCGGCCTCCATGCGGGGGGGGCCGCGAGCCAGAACGGCTCCGAGGGGGGCCGCGGGGCCCTCGCGCTCCGGCTCGCAAGGCCGTGCGAGCTGGCATTCCGGCGGGGCGCGTGTTCCTTCCGACCTCGGCCTCCTGCACGGGGCCTGCTGTCGGGCCCCCGGACACTCCAACGTAGGCCCCTGACGAAGAGGGAAGCGATCTGGCTGGCCGCGGAAATCTAAAGCTGTCCTGCGGCCACCTGCGGCCCCCTTGCATCGGCTTGGGGGCCGCTTGGGCCTGCGGGCAAGTTTTATATCCATAGCCAGTGCATCTTGCACTTTCTCGGAAGTGGCGCCGTAAGGCCGAGGCGCTCTGGATATGTATGAAAACCGAGCCTCCATAGCGCAGAATCCCACCAGCCCTTTTGGGCGTAGGTGGTCTTGGGTGTTTTGACTTCCATCTGCCCCGCTTTCCCTTCTGGGAGGGGTTATCACTGTTCCTTACAACCCCTCCCCCCGGTGGCCAGCGTCCATCAAGGAACCATGAGGATACCATGACTAACCGCCCCCCAGCATCCTGGTCAAAAAACAAAACAAACCGCACTCTGCCCCCACAGCCTGCGCGGCCAACCCGATGCGGCCCCCCCCCCATCCCTGTCAAAAAACAATGCTGAATACCTTTTGGGCTGCGTGAGTCTTGAGTCATGTCCGTGAGGCCCGCGAACACTTCGCACTGCTTTTGACAGGGACGGCGGGGGTGCCATATTCCCTGCCGTGCGCAGGGCAACCATCCCTGACAAACAAAAACAATACAACATGCACCTCGAGGCCAAAACTGGATCATGCGCGGCCATCCTGCGATCACTGTCAAATCGTTTTTGACGGGGACCGCGGGGGTGGTTGCGCGTGGCCTGCTGTGCACAGGCCCACCAGACACAATGACGGGCATTGGTTTCCGACAAGGATGGCGGGGGCCAACATGTTTCCCGATGTGTGCTGTCACGTGCGCAGGCGCACCTGACGAACTCTGCAAGTGCCCCGAACATGGCGCACCTCGCGCGGCTGGAGTGTGCGGCACACCTGGCGCACTCGGAGCATGTGGCGCATCTGGCACACCAGGCGTGCCTGGCACGCTCGGGTCCCAGGGGTGCCTGGCGCGTGGCGCCCTCGGCACGCGTGGGGCACCTCGCCCAAGCGTTGCGCACCTGGTGTCGGCGTTGGTTACCAGTAGCTGCCCATCCAAAGACGACCGCTGAGCATGCTCAGGCTCGGGTGTTACTTATGTGTTGGGAGGGCGGGTGCGAGTGAGCTAGACGGCTTGCGGGCGGATGGGTCGCTTGACCCCTCCCCTACCCCCTCCCCTGGACCTGGACAGGGCCGGTTGCGAGGTGTCAGAGCGTCCAAAACGGCCTCGGCGAGGAAGCCAAAATCACTGGTTCCCCAATCAGTGCTTGCACTGAAGGTGGATGTTGAAAAATTTGGCGAAAATTCTGGGTCGATTTCGGTATCCGGTTCTGAGTTCCCAGGTTCCCAGTTCCCGGCCGATTTCGGTGGGCGGCGGGGTTCCTGGGTTCCCGGGTTCCTGGTCGATCTTCTTATCGATCGGTCTCACCATAGATCTCATTACCCACCTCTCTATCGATATCACCATCGATCTCACGGTCGATCTCACAAGCGATCTCACTGTAGATCGCACGAGTAAGCTCGGGATCGATCTCACCATCGATCTCATGACATCGACTTCACTCTCGGTCTCACGATCGACCATACAATCGTCCTCACTATCGATTCCACGATCGATCTCACTATTGATCTCCAAATCGATCTCAATTTCCATATTACTAGTTTGCAACCCATCCTCTGATTGAGGCTTTTCTCTGGTGTAATGTTGCTAAGGTGTTGGCCCCCATCTTGGCCTCTGGGTGGGGGGGGCACCGCAAAGTTCAAGCTCCCCTCTTGTTTGATCGATGTCCTCCAAGATGGCCCAAAGATGGTCCCCAAGGCTCTCCAGGGCGCTCCAAGGGAGCCCCAAGAGGTGCCCAGGAGGCACCAAGAGGCCCCCAAGAGCCCTCCAGGATGTCCCCAAGAGGCCCCCAAGAGACCCCAAGAGACCCCAAGAGGCCCCCCAGAGGCACCCAAGACAGCCCAAAGGGGCCTCGGCGAGAATGCCAAAATTACTGATTCTACTAAAAAGTGTTGGCCACATGTTGGCCTCCTGGGGGGGGGGGGGGGGGGGACACTGATTAAGATGGCTCCAAGAGCGCCTGGAAGAGCCCAAGATGACCTCCAAGATGGCTCAAGATATCCCAAGATGCCTCAAGATGGCTCCCAAGATGCTCCAAGAGGCCCCAAGACCGCTCCAAGACTGCTCCAAGTGGCCAAAGAACTCCCCCAGGAGGCCCCGCAGAGAACAACATCCTTCCAATACATTGGGAAAACCATGTTTGTTGCTTTCTCGCCTGTTCGCTTCCGATGGCCTCACGATGGGCAAAGAGGGCCCAAGAGAGGCTCACGAGAGCCCCAAGACGGTCCCAAGAACGCCCAAGAGCGCTCCAAGAGCGTCCCAAGAGCGCCCCGAGAGGAGACTTTTGGGGCTCCCGATGGGCAACGCCAATTAATGCTCCCCTCTTGTTTGATCGATCTCCTCCAAGGTGGCCCCAAGAACCAGGAACGCTCCCAAGGCTCCTAATAGCGCCTCGAGAGGGCACCAAGAGGCGCCCAGGAGGCCCCAAGAGGCGCCCAGGAGGCCTCCAAGAGGCTCCTGAGATACCCCCAAGAGGCCCCAACAGGCTCCCCGAGACGCTCCAAGAGGCCCCCGGGACTGGCAAGAAAGAGGCCCAGGAGTATCCCAAGAGCGCTCCAAGAGGGACCCTTCATCTGAGTACTGCCCACTTCCCTGATCAAGGCAAACCATCTGGGCATCGTCTCTGGATGGGCTGGTGGGGCTACACGAAGCGTCTAGAATTGGTATCCGTATCCAGTGCGCCTCGGGTTTCTGGGGAAGGGCGCCCAGGAACTCCAAGCTGCAGTGGATATGGACAGAAATTGTGCCCGCAGGGCCGTCCGTGGGGCACCCGTGGGCCTATCCGCGGCGATCGTCCGAGGGTGTCAGCGCAGGGCGCGTGTGCGCAGAGCGCGTGTGTGCGGGCCGCGGGCCGGGCCCCGGCCAAGGCCTGCCCGCTCCGGCCCCTGGACAGCCACCTCACTGTTGAAGGGGCCCCAGGACACACAAATAAATACACACAGATAAAAAGATACCCCATATTTCCAATATTTTCTGGGTTTTCGTCTTCCCCCCCCACTTCCCATATTTTCCTGGGAGTCGACGATTAATCGTGTCTGTGTGTTTTTTTCCCCTCCTGAACTGTGCATGCCCTGCGCCGCGTCGTGCGCCCCGGGCACCCGCACAAGGGCCACAGGCTCTGCGGTGCGGCCTCCGCTCCCCCGCGTGCCTCTCCCCTTCCTTTCCTCCTGCCCCCTTGACTAGAGGCCTCCTGGATGGGGTCCGCGTAATTAGGTGGGGTCGGAGGATCGCGCCGCATCGTCGATGCATCATCGACGCATCGACGATGCATCGGCGACGTCGGCGTGGAGAAAATCGGGCTCCACGTCGAGCCGCATCGGCGATGCATCGGCGATGCGGCGCGACCCTCCGACCCCATCTAGGAGGCCTAGATTGACGCGCACGCTTGCCGCGCGTCCCACGCCATGCGTCGACCGCGCCTTGGCTCCACGTCGCCGCCGACAGGACAGTTGTGCGCAGGGGGCTCCCGCCCCTCTCCATCACGGCGGCGGCGGGCAGCCGAGCGAGCAGCGCCGCATCGGGGAACCGCATCGCATCGGCCAGTGCATCGGATCGGGCCGCACCGGCGCGGAGTCGGCATCGGATCGGGCCGGCCACGCCGGAATGCACGACTGCGCGATGCAGGCTTCGGGCCGCGTCGGCGGTTCGCATCGGAGCGGGCCCTGGCAGGGCGGAGCGGGGCTGGACGCCGGCGAGACCTTTCCTGTAGTGGGCTCAGGCGAGACATCCGGCCGTGGCCACGAGGGTAGGGGCCCCAAAAGCAGCCCAAAGCGCACAAAAACTTCGACCCTCGACGACGACGACGACGAAGACGACGCGACGACGAGGACGAGGACGAGCACGAGGACAGCGACGTCGACGATCACCACCACCACCACCACCACTTGGGCCTGATTTCATGGCCAACGGTAGCCAGAACAAAAACGTGGGGTGTTTCGATTGCCACCTGTTGCCAGAAAAAAACGTGTGATGGTCCAGCTAGATTACGGGTCATACTTCGGGCCCTCGGCGGCAGTTCGGGACGATTGCACCGCAGGAAAAGCTCTCTACGCGGCGCAGCTCGGAGGCACCCCGGGGCTGAAAACCAATTGAGACAGACGAGGACACCCGAAAAACCTTACACCGCGAACCTCGTAGCCTCTGCGGGTGCCGGCGCGGCACCGCGCGGTGCCCCCGCAGTTCAAGACGAAGCCAGGACGAGGACACGATCGGGTGAGGATAAATCGAGAATCTCTTAGGTCTGGCGGTTCTGGAGGATGTCTCAGGCGCCGCGGCCTTCTCAAAGAGTCTCAGAACGCCCTGGGAGCGTTCCGGAACGCTCTGGAACTGATCTATCCCCGTCCTAGCCCCGTCCGATCGTTGGCGTTGGTCAGTCACCACGTAAAATCGGGGCTGATTGGAGAGGACACGCGAGAGAACTTGAGACCCGCCCTAGGACCTCGCTGCCACAGCAATGCAATAGCATGGGCCGCGAAGCACAGGACTCAAGGGTACCCTTGATTTGGCATGCCCGACCAACACGCCACACCAGCTGTTTGTCTCAACGATTCGCGAGGCCACCCTTTACCGGGACCGTCCATCCCAACTGGAACATCACTGTCCGCGCCTGCGCTGCTCGGGAACGCCCTCGAAAGGATTTGCCCTCGTCCTCGCCCAGTCCGAAAAAAACGCGTTGCGTCGGCGGCGAGGCGGGGGAAGGCTGCGCTAGCGGACAGGCCTAAAGGGGGTGCCGCTACAGTGCGGGCGCGGCCGCAAGAAACTCTCGCAAGAAACCCATCCCTGAGAACCCGCGCGCGAGGTGCACCTGAGGGGAAGCCAGAGCACCCTGAACTCAGCAGTTTCTCCAACGGCTGTGGGAAGTCACCACGCAGCGCGCGGAGCGAAGAAACCCAGGATACCCTGACGAAAAGCAGATGGTCTCTTGATGCGCGCCCCCACTGTATGACGGCGAGTTGTGCCACCATGCAAGAGGGGGAGGAGGGAAAGGGCGCGGCCGACCGGGGGGGGGCGGGAGAGGCGATTTGCTCGGGGAGGCGGGTCACGCCCCGAGCGCGTGGCACGGTCACGCCCCGAAAACACCCGAAGACCTGAGACCGCAGACCTCCTCCTCCTCCTCCTCCTCCTCTTCCTCCTCCTCCTCCTCCTCCTCCTCCTCCTCCTCCTCCTCCAGCTCATCCTCCTCCTCCTGCTCCTGCTCCTCCTCCTCCTCCCCCTCCTCCTCCTCCTCCTCCTCCTCCTCCGTGACCTCTGCGGGTGCTGGAGCGGCACCGCGCTGAGCCGCCGCGCCCGCAGCGGCCGCAGCGGCCGCACCCGCGGCGGTCGCGCGCCAGGCGGGGCTCTCCGGGTGGTGCACCAGGCACATCTTCCTGTAGGCCTGCGGGCCGTGCGCACTCTGGCGCTCCAGGGGCGATCCGTCGTCGTCGCCGCCGCCGCCGCCGTCGTCGCCGTCGTCGTCGTCGTCGTCGTCGTCGTCGTCGTCGTCGACGTCGTCGTCGTCGTTATCGTCGTCGTGGTCGTCGTCGAGGTCGTCGACGTCATCGTCAAGGTCGTCGTCGTCGTCGTCGCCGCCGCCGTCGTCGTCGCCGCCGCCGCCACCGTCGTCGTCGTCGTCGCCGCCGCCACCGTCGAGCGTCGCCGTCGCCGCCGTCGTGGTGGTCGGCGACGTCGTCGTCGCCGTCGCCATCACCGTCGCCGTCGTCGTCGTCTTCATCGCCTCTTTCTCCATCTCCGTCACCGTCATCGTCGTCTTCGTCTTCGTCGCCGTCGTTGCCGTCATCGACATCATCCCTTGTCGTTGTCGTCGAACACGAGGATTGCGAGCACGCGTTCGTGGCCACGGCTGGATCAACCTCGAAATTCTACAGGGTTCGTCATCGTCGTCGTTATCCTCGTCGCCCTCGTCGTGGCACTCGTCAACGTGTATCGTCGTCGTGCTCGCCGACGTCTTTGGGAGGTCTTCCGTTGTTGTCGGAAGTTTCTGCACGGCTTTCGGAGACGGTCTCCGTCGACGTCCTCGCCCTCGTCATCCTACGCCTTCTCGTCGCCGTCGCGATCGCCGAAATCGCCCCTCCTGCTTCCGCTCCTGCCACCGGTACTGGCCGTCGCCTCCGCGGCCCCACATCTCCGACATCGTGGGCACGAGCACCCCAAAGCCACGAAGGACGTTGTTCTTGAAGGGGCCCTGGGACACACACATAAATCCGCCGACCCTGTCGGCGTGTGGAAGACGCATCCCGGTGTCGTCGTCTTGCGTGGATCACCGTCGTCGTCGTCGTCGTCGTCGTCTCCGTCGTGTCCTCGTCGTCTCCGTCTCCGTTGTCCCTCGTCGTCTTCGTTGTTCCCCGTCTCCTTGAGCGCGCGAGCCAAAGCGACATTGAGCAACGTCGTAGTTGAGTCGTGGCGAAGCCCCTCCCTACCCTCCCCGCCGGGGGGGGGAGGGGGGGGGGGGGTCGCCGGGGGGGGTCCCCGGGGGGGGTCGCCACCCAGATACGCATCCTCCCCGGGGGGGCCCGGAGCTCAGAAAAGCTTCAAGACGAGCCAAGAGCGACAAAGGACACCCCCAAAAGGGTACAAGAGGGCCTCGACTCGACGAACGATGGCCCCAAGACGCCCAAGACGGCCCGAAGACGGCCCAAGAGGCCCTCAAGACGCTCCAAGAGAGCCCCAAGAGCGCACCCAAGAGGGCCCCAGGCGCCAAAATCGTCAATTTTACATAGGTTTTTGAATGATTTTGGCCTTCTCGCCTTTTCGGCTTTCCGACACTCCAAGACGGCCCAAGAGGCCCCCAAGAGGCCCCCAAGAGCGCCCCAAGAGGCCTACAAGAGGGCCCCAAGACGGCCCAGGAAGGCCCCAGGACAGCCTCAGAGGCGCCCAAGACGGCCCAATAGGGCCCCAAGACGGGCCCAAGAAACGGCCAAGAGGGGGACGAGGAACCGAGAATTCGAGACTTCCGCCCTAAGAGGCCCCCGGGAAGCCCCAAGAGGCCCCCAAAAGGCCCCAAGAGGCCCCCGAGCGGCGCCAAGACGCCCCCAAGATGCGCCGAAGACGGCCTCCGGAAGCCCCAAGAGGCCCAAAAGAGGCCCCAAGAGGCCCCACAACGGCCCCCAAGAGGCTTCAAGTTGCCTTCCAGACGCCCCCGAGAGGTCAACCACGAGATCCCAACCAACATCCATAAGGCCTCCTCCTCCTCCCCCTTCATCCTTCCTCCTCCTACTCCCTTCCGCCTCCTCCTCCTCCTCCTCCTCCTGCCCCCCCCTCGTGTTGTCTTTCGTCATCTTCAGGGTCGGCGGCAACGGCCGTAAGGCCTTCGCAATACACACAAATAACAGGATTCCTCATGTGCTCTCATATTTTCTGGGTTTCTTTCTTCTCCCCCCATACGTACCTAATATTTATGGGGAATCGACGATTAATTGTGCCTGTGTGTTTCCTTCCCTCCTGAGCTCTGAGGACCTGGCCTGGAAAGGCTTCGGGCTGCGCACAGACAGCCCCCCTTGGCAGTTCAGGCTCCTGGCCGGCCTCACTTTTTCTTCCCCCCAGCGAAGAGGCCCAGCGGCAGAGGGAGGCAGCGGCGGGGGGAGGGAGGGAGGGGCGGGGGGAAGCGGGGTGCACGCAGCCCGCGCGCGGGCCGCCCCAATGACGAATTCGTCCGGCGGCCCCGGGCGCTGCGCCAGGCGCGCCTGCAGCGCCTCCCGCCCAGTCGGCCAGGCTGGCCTCAGCGGTTTGCCATCCTGAGTCCTTTTCTGATGGTCCCCGAGGCCCGGGGAGGGTCCCCGGGGGATCCAGCAGGAGGAGGAGGAGGAGGAGGAGGAGGAGGAGGAGGAGGCGGAGGAGGAGGAGGAGAAGGAGGAGGAGGAGCAGGAGGAGGAGGAGGAGGAGGAGGAGGAGGAAGAGGAGGACGAGGAGGAAGAGGAGGAGGAGGAGAAGGAGAGTTGAGGCCAACGGGGGCTCCTCGGGGAGCCTGTGAATTGAGGCCAGCAGTGAGTAACTGGGGGGGTATCTGTGCGCAGCCCGATGCCTCACCAGCCTGGCATCCCGCCCGCTCGCGGGCCCCATGGAGCGAGCCACGGGGAGCGAGCCATGCGCCTGGAACGGGGTCGCGCACGCGCCGGAGGCCGACGCTGTGAGAGGGCCACGACGCAGCACATCTGCGCGGCCTGCCCGCGACCTCTCGACCCCCATCGCCGATCTATCGGCGACGTATCGCCGATTCCAGGTCGGTGTTCTCCCGCCCCCCCGAGCCAGTCCCCACCTAACGTTGCACCTCAAAGAGCTATGGGGGAGCCAGCACAGCTACGGCCAGGAGCTGCTGCTCTGCGCGTCTCGGCGGCGGCCCTGACGGCACGCGATGCCGTGCTAGCAGATGGCGTGTCGCTCCGCTCCGCGGGGCGGGAGGCTTCGACAGGCTCGGGGCGTTGACGCCTGGAAAATGGGGGCGTGGTCGGGGTGTCGCGCCGCTGCGCGGTGGGCCAGAACCCGCGCGCAGCGACACACCAAGCAAAAGCTCCTGACCGTAGTGCTGTGCAGATTGCCCGCGCGCGGCCACAAAAGACAGGCCGACCTCGTGAACAGATCGGGACGTCAGAATGTCCGAGAGCAAGGTCGGAGAGGGATTCGCTCGTGAGGGCGACTGCAATCGACATAACGACCTTCGTCAGATCCCGAGCCCGATGGTGCAACCGATTATCCGCGTCTTGGAGCGCACCAACACTGCCACATACGTAGCCTCTGGGACCAGGTGGGCAGACAGCTTGTTCGAGGACAAAGCGACAACGAAGACGAAGACGATGACGATGACGATGACGATAATGATGCTGATGCTGATGCTGATGCTGATGCTGATGCTAATGCTGATGGTGATGATGATGATGGTGATGGTGGTGATGCTGATGAGTATGATGATGTTGCTGGTGTTGATGTTGATGATGATGGTGGTGAGGATGATGATGGTGATACTGCTGCTGATGTTGATGATGATGCCCAAGATGTTGATGCTGCTGCTGATGATGATGCAGATGGTGATGATGAGAATTATGTACATGATGTTGATGTTTTTGCTGATGATGATGGTGATGATGGTGCTGGTGATGATGCTGGTGAGAAGGATAGTGGTGATGATGGTGATGACGGTGATAGTAATTAGGATGATGATGACGACGATGATGATGATGATGCTCATGATGATGCTGCTGAGAATGATGATGATGATGATGATGATGATGATGATGATGATGGTGATGGTGATGATGATGATGGTGATGATGATGAAGGAGAAGAAGAAGACGACGGCGCGAAGACGCCGACGAAGTGGTTTTCTAAACCCCGGCGTGCACACACCGTTTCGTTCCAAATATCCTCGACGCGCCCGAGCGTCGTCTGCTCTGCGAAGCGTGCGGACACGTCTGTGCAACCAGGGCGTGGCGAAACGACAGGAGGCGGAGGAGGAACCGTGCAGCGAGAAAAACCCTCTTGTTGTAGATTGATCGCCCTGGTTGTTCTGACTCGCGCGCAATGATGGGCCAATCTTCCACTACAACTATCATAGGTAGGAAGGGAAGGGGAGGAGAAGGAGGAGGAGGAGGAGGAGGAGAAGGAGGAGGAGGAGAAGGAGGAGGAGGAGGAGGACGACGAGAGGCAGAAGGAGGAGGAGAAGGACCTCCCCATCCTCCCTTCTCCCGCGTCCTACCTATGGCAGCGGTGGTGGAACATTGGCCCATCACGCGAGGGCGGCTGGGCAGAGAGGATGCGGGCGAGGCATCGGGACACGGCTCAGACGGTGTTAGGCCGATCGCAGCCTCAGCAGGCGGCGCCTGGCGCCCTGGCAAGACGAGGACGAGGACGAGGCCAAGGACGAGGACGACTGCAACGACGTCGGCGACGACAGCCAATACACGACGACGACGACGCTCCCTGAAACATTCGGCGGCGAGCGAGGGGGGGAAGTGAGAAGGGGCGGGCCTTCTCAGAAGGCTCGGAAGTCCCCCAGCCTTTTGAGAAGTTGCCTAAGCCTTCCCTGGAGACACAGAAAGCCTCTCAGAAGGCGCGACGGCTTCTGAGAAGCCCCGCCGCCTTCTAAGAAGCCCTTCTCCTTCTCACTTCCCCCCCTCGCTCGTCGCCGAATGATGCGGCGCGTTCCGACAAGAATTTCGAGGCGGACCCAGCCTTGGCGGCGAGGTCGCCCCCAGGGGCCTCCACGACGACGACAACCACCACCACCTGGCCACCACCACCTGGGCCTGCTGGCTTTCGGGCCAAACGGCTAAGGCCCTTCTGGACGATTCGGGCACCCCAGGGCAGCTCTCGACGACGCGCAGCTGCTGGAAAGCAGCCCGCGGCGAGAAAACTTGCAGAAGCCAATGGAATATTCCTCCGCCTAGCCTAGCGGCGGCGACGACGACGGACACGGCAATGACGACGACGGCGGCGACAGCCACTTTGCGCCACCACCAAAGACCCGGCGACGGCAACGAGGGTGAAGAAGGGCGACGACCAGGGCGACGGGGACGATGAGGATGATTATGGGACGATGCGCCCTACGACGACTAGGGCAGCGACGGCGACGACGACGACGACGATGACGACGGCGACGAGGACGACGACGACGATGACGAGGAAGACGACGACGAAGAAGACGACGAGCACGACGAGGGAGACGACGAGGGCGACGACGAGGACGACGACGACGGCGGCAGCGGCGGCGAGAGGAGCGCGCAAGGCCTTCTTCAGGTCATCCTGCGAGGCGCCCGCGTCCAGCTCCTGCCCCGCGCCGGCGCCCGATCGGCGGCCCAAATCGCGAAGAACAGGAGAACACGAGGGCACCCCTTCCATTTCTGGCGTTGCTCTCGACCCTCTTGCCAACTGTACTCGCCGTCGTCGTCGGTCGACTTGTCGTCGTCATGGTCGTCCCAAATCGCCGACACCCCAATCTCTCTGCAGCGTGGATCCTCAGAGGTCTAGACTCCTTCCCAGGGACCAGACTCTAATAGTCCCAGGGGCCAATGAGCAGTTACGCCACGGAGGCGAGGTGGGAATCGGTCGCCGTCGTTGACGTGGTCTGGGGCTGTTGGTGCGGTCTGGGCCCCCAATTTGGGGGGGGCGCCTCCAGGGTCGCCCTCACGGCAACGGGCCACAGGGCAGGTTTCGGGGGTCGTCGTCGTCGTCGTCCTCCTCCTCGTCCTCATCGTCGTCGTCCTCATCGTCGTCGTCGACGTTTTCGTCATCGTCGTCCTCGTTCTCTTCCTCGTCGTCGTCGTCGCCCCCTCGTCGTAGTTATCATCGTCGTCCTCGCCGTAGTCATTGAGCGGTCCCTGGTTTGGCCTCGGAAATGCCTGTGCGACTCTCGGAGGCCGTGGTGATCGCTGTCGTCGTTCTCGTCCTTGTCGTCCTGCTTCGCCTCGCTCGTCAAAGATGTCGTCGTCGTCCCCCTCCTCCTCTTCCTCCTTCCTTCTCCTTCTCCTCCTCCTCCTCTTCCTCATCATCCTCCTCTTCCTTCCCCTCACCTCCTGTGCCAAATCCTGCTCCTGCCACTGTTCCTGGTGCAGCCGCTTCTCCTCTGCATCCTGCCCCTCACCGTCTCGCCTCCCACGCCTGCTCGACACGTCCCGCGCGCTCTTGTATCTCTTCATCCTCCTCCTCCTTCTCCCTCTCCTCGTCCTCCTCGCCCCTCTCCTCATCCTCGTCCTACTCCTCCTCTTCGTCGTCGTGCTCCTCCTCCTCCTCCTCCTGCTCCTCCTCCTCCTCCTCCTCCTCCTCCTCGTGTCTCCTGGCGCCTCGGCGCCTCGGCGCCTTCTGCTCAAGCTGGCATCGGGACGTTTCGGCGCCCTCGTCCTCCCCCTCCTCTTCTTCTCCTCCTCCTCCTTCTCCTCCTCCTCCTCCTCCTCCTCCTCGTCGTGTTCCTTCTCCTCCTCGTCCTCCTCCCCCTTTCCTCCTTGTCGCCGTCCTTATTTCTTCCCTGTGCCATCGAAGCACGAAGGCCAGAAGCACTGACTTAAACCGATGAAGATGACAAAACGACTGGGTGCTGCGCGAGTAGGCACCCGGCACCCTGCTCATTACTGCGAGAATTGGCTCGGTGCCGCGGGTATCCGGATGATGGGTACTCCAGATTTCGTGATAAAAGGGAGGGGGTCCCAACCCTCCCAGACGAGAAGTTTTAGACCCCCTCCAGACCATCCATGAAAGGGCGGCCCTTTGCCCAGACCCCCCCGAGCCCTTCAAGACAGCTCAAATCAGACCCCCCCCCAAATGTGACCCCCCCCTACTTTATTATGGAATCCGGAGTACCGCCTTGCTCGCTTCCAGCGCACCTGCAAACATAAGGCGGGGAGAGAGCGGAGGGGGGGGAGGTCAGAGAGGCGGGGGGGAGGGGAGGGAGGGACTTCACTCGTTCTCTGTGAATGGCCGATTCCGAATCGCGATCGGCATCGTCGCAGCCGTCGCTCGCCGAACACTCCAGGGCGTAACGCCCGAGCTCACACGCCGCAGGGAGGCCGAGTGGGAGGGAGAGGGCCAGAAGCACCTTGCGCAGCCACGCCCCGCGACCGCGCGGGCAGCCGCCCTCCGCGCGCGCCCAGCATCGGGGCACGAGACCCTGGCGGGAAGGACCACGGGCAGCCACCGACGACGAAGACGCCGACGCCGACGCCGACGCCGACGGCGACGGCAAGACAGAACGCCCGCAGCAGCGCGACCACGACGATGCGACCACGACGACAGCGACGATGTCGACGGCGACGGTGACGGCGACGGCGACGGCGACGACGACGACGGCGACAGCGACGACGATGGGGAGGAGAGGAAAGAAGAGGTCGGCGGGACCATCAGGTTGAACGGGCCGCAAACCCGTATACAGCATCTCGCCGACAATGCGGAGCCAGTAGCAATGCAGCGATGTCCAGGATGGCGGGCGTGATTGGCAGAGGCCTGTTCGGCACGCAGGCAAGCGGCTGCCGACCCCGCGTCTGTGGCGAGCGAGCTGCGTCAACGCGCGATGCAGCCGAGCAGGTCTTACGCCTGCTGGCAGAGTGGGAGAAATGGAGAAGATGGAGAGATGGAAGGAGGGGGTGAGCACCGCGGCGGTGAAGGCCACGGCGGCGACGATTGCGGCGACGGCGGCAACGATGCCGACGACGCCGACGCCGCTGCGTCGGACGGCAACGACGGCGACGCCGCTGCGTCGGATGGCAACGACGACGATGACGGCGACGACGAGGACGCCGACGCCGATGAGGGCGACGCCGACGACGACGGCGACGACGATGGCGCCGACGACGACGCAGCCCTCCGCGTCGTCACTGAAGAGCCGACGAGGGCCGCGGGCACAGGCTGGCGGGGGCAGCCCCGCCCACCGCCCCTCCAGCAGGGCGTACAGGTCCTCGCCCTTGAGCGAGTCGGGCAGCTGGGCGGCCGCGCGTCGCGCGGCGCCTCCTCCTGCTCCTCATAGTCCTGCTCTTCCTTCTCTTCCTCCTCCTTCTCCTCCTCCTCCTCCTCCGCCTTCTCGTCCCCTCCTCCTCCTCCTCCTCTTTCTCCTCCTGCTCCTCCTCCTCCCCCTCCTCCTGCTCCACCTTCTCCTCCTCTTTCTCCTCCTCCTTCTCCTCCTCCTCCTCCGCCGCCTCCTCTTCCTCCCTGATCCTCTTTGCTCTGCACTCCTCATCCTCCATCCTCACCTCCTCCTGCTCCTCCTGCTCCTCCTGCTCCTCCTCCTCCTCCCTCCTCCTCCTCCTCCTCCTCCTCCTCCTCCTCCTCTTCCTCCTCCTCCTCATCCTCCTCCTCCTCCTCTTCCTCCTCCTCCTCCTCCTCCTCCTTAACTACTCGATTAGATTCCCCGCTGATGCTGTCCATTACGGGGCCCGCCTCTCCTGTGTGTGAATGGGCCAGGAACGGCGGCGCGACACTCCAAACGTACGCTCCCGACCGCACCAGTACTGAATATGCATGTCCTTTCCCCTTTCCCCTGGTACTGTTGTTGCCCAGAGCGGGGGGGGGCCACCTCACCCTCGTGTGCAGCCGCACCGCCGCCTCCAGAGGCGGGCTCCCGCGCACCGCCCCAAAAGAGCAGCAGCATCCGAGTCGCGGGGCACCCGCGTGCCCGAGCCGGCCAGCTGGCGAGAGCAGCTGGGAGGGCAAGGGGTTTGGACGCCCGAAATGGGAACGGACAAGAATGGGCACAATGCCCAACAACACATGTTGTCCCAAACCAACAGCGGCCGCTGTTGGGCAGGCGGCCTTCTGTCTCGCATGGACGCAGGCCGCGGCGGCTTGGACAGCGAGTCCTGTTCAAAATGAACAGGAACTGCAGTTGGGCATTGTACCCATTCTTTCGGTACCCATTTCGTTCGTGCAGAAGGGGGAGAAGGGGGAGGAGGGAGGAGAGAGCCAGAAGGAACCGAGAGGCCGATGGGACGGGCGCGCGGCGGGGAGGCTTGCGCCACCAGGCCCCCGCTTAGGCGCGCGCGCGCCGGAGGTACGAAGCAGGAAAGGAAGAGGGGAGCAGGGGAATGAGCGGGGGGAACAAGAGCCTGGTGCACAGGTTGGCGGGGAGAAGAGCAGGCAGCGGCGCGGAAGAGAGTGAGAGAACGAGGCAAGCATATGGAGGCGCAACATGCAGGAGAGGGCGGCCGGCACGTCAGGGAGGGGGAGAAACAGGCGGGAAAGGCGGAGACCGGGGGCGGTGGTGGGCGTCGAATTCTGGGGGGGGTCGGCGGTCGTCGTCGCGGGCCCGCTGCGCGTCTGCCAGCATGGTGTCGGCTTCGTTGGTGCTGTCGCAGTGGTGCTGTCTGCTGCGCTGGTGCTGCTGGTGCCGTCTGCTGCGCCGCGGTGGAGCAGTTTGCTGCGTTGGTGCTGCGGCGCCGGCGACCCCGCCAGCGTCGACCCTGCGTACGGTTGTCGGCCAGGCCTCGCGTGCCAGTGGCCGCCAGCAGCGCTTCGGCGCTGCCCGCCTGCAGCAGGCCGCCGAGCTGCTGCCAAGCAGACCGCAGCACCTCAGCGCGGCCGGCTCCCTCCAGGCCGTGTGCCAGGGAGCGCGCGCGACCGCCACGTCACCGGCTCCTCCTCCTCTTCTGCTTCCTCCTGCTCCTCCTCCTCCTCATCCACCCTTCCGTTTCATCCCCCTGGGCCTACTCGATGTCATCCCCCTTCTCCCTCCCCCCTCCTCCTCCTGCTCCTCATAGTCCTTTTCTTCCTCCTCCTCCTCCTCCTCCGCCTCCGCCTCCTCCGCCTCCTCGTCCCCCCCTCCTCCTCCTCCTCCTCCTCCTCCTCCTCCTCCTCCTCCTCCTCCTCCTCCTCCTCCTCCCCCTCCTCCCCTCCTCCTGCTCCTCCTGCCTCCTCTTTTTCCTCCTTCTCCTCCTCCTCCTCCGCCTCCTCATCTTCCTCCATGATCCTCCTTGCTCTGCACTCCTCATCCTCCAACCTCACCTCCTCCTGCTCTCCCTCCTCCTCCTCCTCCTCCTCCCTCCCTCCCTCCCCCTCCTCCTCCTCCTCCTCCTCCTCCTCCTCCTTCACTACTCGATTATATTCCCCGCTGATGCTGTCCAGTACGGGGGCCGCCTCTCCTGAGTGCGAGTGGGCCAGGAACGGCGGCGCGACACTTCAAACGTACGCTCCCGACCGCACCAGTACTGAATATGCATGTCCTTTCCCCTCTCCCCTGGTACTGTTGTTGCCCAGAGCGGGGGGGGGGGCACCTCACCCTCGTGTGCAGCCGCCCCGCCGCCTCCAGAGGCGGGCTCCCGCGCACCGCCCCAAAAGAGCCGCAGCATCCGAGTCGCGGGGCACCCGCGTGCCCGAGCCGGCCAGCTGGCGAGAGCAGCTGGGAGGGCAAGGGGTTTGGACGCCCGAAATGGGAACGGACAAAAATGGGCACAATGCCCAACAACACATGTTGTCCCAAACCAACAGCGGCCGCTGTTGGGCAGGCGGCCTTCTGTCTCGCATGGACACAGGCCGCGGCGGCGTGGACAGCGAGTCCTGTTCAAAATGAACAGGAACTGCAGTTGGGCATTGTACCCATTCTTTCGGTACCCATTTCGTTCGTGCAGAAGGGGGAGAAGGGGAGGAGGGAGGAGAGAGCCGGAAGGAACCGAGAGGCCGATGGGACGGGCGCGCGGCGGGGAGGCTTGCGCCACCAGGCCCCCGCTTAGGCGCGCGCGCGCCGGAGGTACGAAGCGGGAAAGGAAGAGGGGAGCAGGGGAATGAGCGGGGGGGAAAAGAGCCTGGTGCACAGGCTGGCGGGGAGAAGAGCAGGCAGCGGCGCGGAAGAGAGTGAGAGAACGAGGCAAGCATATGGAGGCGCAACATGCAGGAGAGGGCGGCCGGCACGTCAGGGAGGGGGAGAAACAGGCGGGAAAGGCGGAGACGGGGGGGCGGTGGTGGGCGTCGAATTCTGGGGGGGGTCGGCGGTCGTCGTCGCGGGCCCGCTGCGCGTCTGCCAGCATGGTGTCGGCTTCGTTGGTGCTGTCGCAGTGGTGCTGTCTGCTGCGATGGTGCTGCTGGTGCCGTCTGCTGCGCCGCGGTGGAGCAGTTTGCTGCGTTGGTGCTGCGGCGCCGGCGACCCCGCCAGCGTCGACCCTGCGTACGGTTGTCGGCCAGGCCTCGCGTGCCAGTGGCCGCCAGCAGCGCTTCGGCGCTGCCCGCCTGCAGCAGGCCGCCGAGCTGCTGCCAAGCAGACCGCAGCACCTCAGCGCGGCCGGCTCCCTCCATGCCGTGTGCCAGGGAGCGCGCGCGACCGCCACGTCACCGGCTCCTCCTCCTCTTCTGCTTCCTCCTGCTCCTCCTCCTCCTCATCCACCTCCACCCTTCCGTTTCATCCCCCTGGGCCTACTCGATGTCATCCCCCTCCTTTCCCCACCCTTTCCCCCTTTTCCCTCCCCCCTCCTCCTCCTGCTCCTCATAGTCCTTTTCTTCCTCCTCCTCCTCCTCCGCCTCCTCCTCAGCCTCCGCCTCCTCCGCCTCCTCGTACCCTCCTCCTCCTCCTCCTCCTCCTCCTCCTCCTCCTCCTCCTCCTCCTCCTCCTCCCCCTCCTCCTGCTCCTCCTGCTCCTCCTCCTTCTCCAACTTCTCCTCCTCCTCCTCCGCCTCCTCATCTTCCTCCCTGATCCTCCTTGCTCTGCACTCCTCATCCTCCAACCTCACCTCCTCCTGCTCCTCCTCCTCCTCCTCCTCCTCCTCCCTCCTCCTCCTCCTCCTCCTCCTCCTCCTCCTCCTCCTCCTCCTCCTCCTCCTTCACTACTCTATTAGACTCCCCGCTGATGCTGTCCAGTACGGGGGCCGCCTCTCCTGAGTGCGAGTGGGCCAGGAACGGCGGCGCGACACTTCAAACGTACGCTCCCGACCGCACCAGTACTGAATATGCATGTCCTTTCCCCTCTCCCCTGGTACTGTTGTTGCCCAGAGCGGGGGGGGGGCCACCTCACCCTCGTGTGCAGCCGCCCCCCCTTCTCCAGAGGCGGGCTTCCGCGCACCGCCCCAAAAGAGCCGCAGCATCCGAGTCGCGGGGCATCCGCGACGCTCGCCGTCGGCGCCGTCATCGTCGTCGAACTGTCGTCGTTGTCGTCGCCGTCGTCGTCCTCCTCCGCCTGCTCTTCCTCCTCCTCCTCCTCCTAATCGTCTTCTGTGGTTTCCTCTGTCATGTGCTTTTCATCCTCCCCCTTGTCCTCCGCAGTGCCCCTCCTCCATGATTGCGCATGCCCCCTGACCCTTTCGCGCTGCAAGTGACATTCGACAGTCAAGGTCGCACTCGAGAGTCGAGAATAGGAGAAGACTAAGCAAAATGGAAGGAGACCAGAGGGAGGGGAAGGATGTCAGATGTGGCGCGAGTGAGGGTACAGTGCCTTCCTCCTCCTCCTCCTCCTCCTCCTGACCCCTCCCCCTCTTCTTGCCCCCCCTCCCCCCTTCTCCCCCCGCCTGCCCCTCCTCGCTGCCCCCCCCTCCCACTTCGGTGCCGCCTTCAATGCGTCCTCCCGTTCCTTCTTCTCCTTCCGCTTCTTCTTCCCCGACGGGCTGTCACCTTGCGGCGCGGGCAGCAGCTTCTCTGCGCGGGCCGGCGCGGCGCCGAGAGGCGCGCGAGAGCGGCGCCGCACCCGTCTCTCTCGGAAGGTGTCGGGCGCAGTGCGTGGTGGCGCCCGACGTGGCGCTTAGTCGGTTAGCCGACCACAGACAAAAGCATGATGTCTGCTCGTTCTCTCTCTCTCTCTCTCTCTCTCTCCCTGTATCTCTCTCCGTCTCTCTCTCTCTCTCGCCCTCTTTTACTCGCTCTCCCACTTACTCGCTCTCTCTCTCTGCCTCTCTTTTCTATATCTATATATGTATAGCTATCTCTCTCTCTCAGTATCTTTCTCTCTCTCTCTCGTCGTCGTCCCTCTCTCTCTCACTCCCTCTCACTATCTCACTGTATGTATGTACTTATGTCTCTCTCTATATGTTATATTACTCACTCTTTCCGTCAATGCAATGAATACGTTGCACGTGGGAACACGTTATGGACACATCGAATGTCCCCAGGCGGCTGTCACCAACGACTTCGCCCATGTAGTATATATATAGAGAGATATAAATCAAATATATGTTCGAATGTATATATGATACATTTACGATACCCGTATATGTCTCAAATGATATATATATATATATATATATATATATATATCCGCCGGCCCCCTTGCGGGGCCATGAGGCTGCGACGGTGACGGCTGCGACGGTGACGACTGGAGCTCCCTGTTCCAATTGCATTTTCAGTTTCCAATGTTACAGTCCGGCTTTCTCCTTACGTACTGTTGTTGCTGAACGCGCGAGGGGGGGGAACCGAAAAACGTCTTGGCTAGCGTCCCCGAATCGCGTTGTCTGAATTCCGGGGGGGTCGTGGGACACGCACACATACATGATACTCGCGTTCCCGAGGCCATAATGCCTAGTAACTTAAAAATGCCCGCGTCCCCGAAACCATCATCTCCTTTGCGAAGTACACAATATTCGCGTCCCCGAAACCATAAACCCGAGTAAAGTATACAATGCTCGCTCTCCCGAAGCAATAAACCCTTGTAAATTATCAAAAATACTCGCGTCCCCGAAGCCGTAAGCCTTACTGAATTAACACATAATCGCGCCCCCGAAGCCATATACCCCCATACATTGCGAAATTCCCGATTCCGAAACCATAAGCTGTCGTAAATTACTGAATACTCGCGCCCCCGAAGCCATCAGCCACGGGAAATTATATAATGTTCGCGTCCCCAGGGCCACAAACCTTCTAAATTAAACAGCGCCCGCGTCGCCGAAGTCATGAAACGTGCGAAATTACTAAATCTTCGCGCCCCCGAAGCCATACATCTTCGCAAATTACGCAGTAGTCGTGTCTCCGAAGCCACAATCCTTTTCGCATCCCCGAGGCCATTTTCGCATCCCCGAGGCCAGAAACCCACTCGCGACCCCGAAGCATACACAGTCGTAAATTATGAATTCCCGCGCCCCCGAAACAATGAACCCACGTCAATTACTAAAAATCTGCGCGCCCGAAGCTAGAAACCTTCGAACATTACACGATATTCGCGTCCCCATGGACATCAACCGAAAAATTGCACAATGCTTGCGCCCCTGAGCCCACACACCCTCGTACATTACGCAATGATCGCGTCCCCGAAGCCAGAAACCATAGTAAATTACTGGGTGCCTGCGCCACCGAAGCCACAAACTTTTGTACATTGGTACTTGCCCTCGCGTGAAGTCCGGCACCGTTTCACGTCAGCGCCCAGACATCCCAGCACAGCCCTGGCAAGTCCCATTCCAAGAGAGGGGGGCAGGCGGCATGGGGACCGAGCCCTTACGGACACAAACACTCGTTAGCCACAATGGACCCCCAATCATGTGTTTCTACAAACCTATCTGGGGCACGACATGTGAGGCAACATGCACTTATATATATATATATATATATATATATACATATATATATATATGTATATACGTATATATATATATATACATACGTATGGGTGTGAATACATATATATATATATATATATGTATGTTTATGTGTGTATCACTATGCCTCATGCGACATACGTAGCGCAGTAAACATGAAGCAATGAGCGTGAAGCAATACATGCGGTGCCATCTACGTGGTGCACGACGCGATGTGTAATCGATCTTGTTGAACCAGTCTTGTGCAATCTATGTGGCGCGATGTGCGTTGTGAGATCTAGGTGGTGCTAGCTACGCGGTGCGACCTATGAACTGCGCAATAGATGTGGTGCAAACGACGTGGAGCAAACTGTGTCGCGCAACACGTGCCATGAGATGGATGTGGTGCAACATACGTGCTGCGATGTGTGTGGTGCGATCTACGTAGTCCAATCAATCACTTGCCCAACTTGAAGCTGGCCTCTCCACTGCTCGTGCAAGCATCCTACCCTCCCACCCGCAGCTTGGCCGCAAAACATCTTAAGACCGTGACGGTGGGTACCACATGGCACTTGGCAACGACACCGACGCCGACGACGACAGCGACAACGACGACGACGACGCCGCCGACAACAACTACGACGACACCGACAACGTCTCCAACGACTTCGACGACGACGACAACGACGACGACGACAACACCGACGACGACGACGACGCTGACGACGACGACGAAGATGACAACGCCGACGACGGCGACGACGACGCCGACGACGACCACGACGACGCCGACGACGACGACGACGACGACGACGACGACGACGGCGACGACGAAGACGACGACGACGACGTCGCCAACGAAGACGACGACGAGGAAGGAGGACGAGGACGGCGACGACATCGACGAGGGAGGCGGGAAGACGACGACGACGACGACGACGGCGGCGGCGAAATAGGAGGGACAACGGCGAAACGCCGACGAAGACGACGAGGGAGGAAAGACGACCACGGCGACAACGACGACGGAAACGACGACGACGACGGAAACGACGACGACGACGACGAGGAAAGACAGAGGACGACGACGGCGACGACGACGAGGGAGGAGGGCGGACGGCGACGACAACGACGACGACGCAAGAGCGCGCCCGAGCGCTTTTGTTGAAAACCCGTATTGCAAAACCTTGTTTTTTCTGTATGTCTTGGACGCGCGATGTTGAAATTGTTGACGCTTCGCGTATCCCCACCAGCCCATCCAGAAACGATGCTCAGGGGAGTTGAGGTGATCAGGGAAGTCGGGGAGCATGCAGAATAACAAAGGGCGGGGGAAGCTGTCACAGACCCCGAGAGGGGGAGGATGGAAGAGGAGTCGTCGTCGTCGTCGTCGTCGGTCGTCGGAGGAGGAGGAGGAGGAGGGGGAAGAGGAGGAGGAGGAGGAGGAGAGGAGACGGAGGGGAGGAGGACTTGGGGGTTTTTGAGGGCCTCTTGGGGCTTTTTGGGCGCCTTGGGGCATCTTGGGCGCCTCTTGGGACCCTCTTGAGGCGCTCTGGGGAGCCTTCGGGGCGCTTTTGGGGCCATCTTGGAGGGAGTCGATCAAACAAGAGGGGGGGTTTAATTAGCGTCCCCCCTCGGAAGCCCCTAAAATCGCCTCTTGGACCCCTCTTGGAACGCTCTTGGAGTGCTCTTGGGCGCTCTTGGGGCCGTCTTGGGGCTCTTTTGGGGCTCTCTTGGGGCCCTCTTGGGCCATCTTGGAGCCATCTCCAGGCCTCGGATAGCCATCGGAAGCGAAAAGGCGAGAAAGCAAAAATCATTGATTTTCCTTAGGTTTTGGGACGATTTTGGCCTCTTCGGGGCCTCCTTGGGGAGCTGTTTGGCCACTTGGAGTTATCTTGGGGCCGTCTTTGGGCTTCTTGGAACCATCTTAGGAGCCATCGTGAGCGATCTTGCGCTATCTTGAGCCATCTTGGAGCTCATCTTGGGTTCTCTGAGGCGCTCTTGGAGCCGTCTTGGGCCATCTTGGACGCTCTAACTACCCGCGGCCCCCCCCGTCCAGGTCCAGGGGAGGGGGTAGGGGGAGGGGTAAACCCCTCCCCAAGGGGGAAGAGGGAGGGGTGGAAGAGGATCTGCTCTAGACCACCTACGCCCAGAGGGCTGGTGGGATTCTTCCAGGACCAAAGGTTGTTGAATGGTTTCGGCATGCGCGCGCGACGACGCGCGTGTCTGCACTTCGTCCGTTTTTTTGCAAGAGGATCCTCGCGACGGCACGCGCGCAAAGGCGTTCTAACGATTTCGACACGCGCGTGCGCGAGGCCCGTTTCGCACTATTTGCAGAAAACCTTGAGGAACCGATGGTTCCCCCTAGATTTCGCAAGAGCGCGCGCGGAAGTTTTTTTAGAACAGCAGCGTTGCGACACCATGTGTTTTTGTATGTTTTTGTTGTGGACGTTCGATATTGAAATCCGTCCGAAACCGAAAATCCCACCAGCCCTCTGGGCGTAGGTGGTCTAGAGCAGATCCTCTTCCACCCCTCCCTCTTCCCCCTTGGGGAGGGGTTTACCCCTCCCCCTACCCCCTCCCCTGGACCTGGACGGGGGGGGCCGCGGGTAGTTAGAGCGTCCAAGATGGCCCAAGACGGCTCCAAGAGCGCCTCAGAGAACCCAAGATGAGCTCCAAGATGGCTCAAGATAGCGCAAGATCGCTCACGATGGCTCCTAAGATGGTTCCAAGAAGCCCAAAGACGGCCCCAAGATAACTCCAAGTGGCCAAACAGCTCCCCAAGGAGGCCCCGAAGAGGCCAAAATCGTCCCAAAACCTAAGGAAAATCAATGATTTTTGCTTTCTCGCCTTTTCGCTTCCGATGGCCATCCGAGGCCTGGAGATGGCTCCAAGATGGCCCAAGAGGGCCCCAAGAGAGCCCCAAAAGAGCCCCAAGACGGCCCCAAGAGCGCCCAAGAGCACTCCAAGAGCGTTCCAAGAGGGGTCCAAGAGGCGATTTTAGGGGCTTCCGAGGGGGGACGCTAATTAAACCCCCCCTCTTGTTTGATCGACTCCCTCCAAGATGGCCCCAAAAGCGCCCCGAAGGCTCCCCAGAGCGCCTCAAGAGGGTCCCAA